GATAGGCTGCCCACGTGGACATGCAAGTAAGCTTAGCTTTTCCATTTTAACATAAAGATCCTAAATTTTTGTATTCCAGTTCATGAGTAAATGATGTTTCATTTTGTAAAGGCTGCCTTATGTTGCTGAAAATATATATAGGTTACATAGCTCCCAAAAAAGTTATGTCCAAAAGGAGTTCATGTCCATTTGTGCTTGCTGAAGGAGCCATCGTGAAAACCAGTTATGCTGGAGCTCAGGTCCACTGTCTTGGTATGGTCCCCCAACAAAAACTAGACCCCTTGATATTCTATAACCTGTGTTCCTGATAAATCTGTGACAGAAATGTTGAATGAGTTCCAGTGAACCAAGAGGCATCCTAAGCTTTTGCCCAGAACTTCAAAAGAAATTCCTCTGGAGTCTGAAGAATGTTTCACTTTTGAACATAAGGGCTAAGTACAGACAGTCAAAAAGCCCAAGGCAGAATCAGTTCAATCTCGGCAGCTTTCTCTACACTGTGTAGACTGGACCATTAACAAACAGGATACGCATTCCCTCATCAGTTGACCAAGATAGGCAGAGATGCCTGCACTGGCCAAGGCTAGAAGGTGCACGGGGTACTGGAGCATATTTCCTAGCTCCAGTGGGCTGCAGACAACCCAGCCCTGCCCCCTCTCCAGCCCCCCACCTGTCAGCTGATGGGAAGGGGTGGGAGGAATGGACCCCCTTTCTGTCCCTGCCCCCCATCAGAGCTGCAGCAGCCACCTGCTCCCCCATCCACTTCGTATGCAAATATACTGTTTGGGGTGGGGGAGGAGGGGAAGGGGAGGACCTCATCTTATATTCAATTAAATATGGTATCTGTGAATAACATCAGGTGAGTTTATCACTGATACAAGCCTTGTGGATTATATGTAACATTTGTATGTGCCTGCCTGTAGCAGGCAGCTTGGAGCTTCTGCTGCTTTAAGAGCAGGCAGCCTATGACTGAGACAGGCTGCAGGTGTGGCAGAAAAACAATTAGGGACCATGCCTGAGAAGCAGACTGCAGGTATGGCTGGGGTGATTGTGGAGTCATCTGACCCAGGAGGAGGACTGAGCTTAGACCAATTATAAGTCCTGGCCCTGAGCTGAGCCAATCCTGATCCTAGAGACTGCTGAGAGAACATCTCCTAAGCAGGATGGTTGTAGTTCCTGAGTGCTAGCATGGAGAGAACAGCCTGCAGCAGTCTGGTGGTTTGGGAAGGGACTATGGGGAGGAGGATGTCCCTGGGGGCCCAGTAAAGGAGTCCAGGAGCCTGGAGAAGGACTGAATGAGAAACCAAGGGGTCTGAGTGCCCAGAGAGGGGCTGAGTGTGGAGCCAGGGGGTCCAGGAGCCCAGAGAATGGCTGAGTGAGAGACCAAGGGGTTGAGTGTGGGACCTGAGCATCTGATAGCCCAGAGTGGAGCTGAGAACATAGAGAATATCAGAAAGATGACACGTATGAAGCCTGGATCATGGCGTAGGGGCAGAATGGAGCCAAGCAATTAGCCCTTAAGACAGTGACCGGGGCACTTGGTGGACATTAGAGTGAGACCAGAATTGGGATGCCCTGGGCCAGCGTCCTTTGTATAAAAGCAAAATACATCAAGATGTGGTGGGCGAATGAAAGGGTGACTGCCCACAGAGACCAGAGTGGATAAGGGACTCCCGGGGCTTCACAACCACCCAGGCCCTGACACTGTTACACTACCACAAGATTCATTGTAAAAAAAAAAATACTCGCAATCAAATTATAGTTTCATAGTTTCTAGGGTCGGAAGGGACCTGAGTAGGTCATCTAGTCCGACCCCCTGCCATGGCAGGAAAGAGTACTGGGGTCAAACGACCCCAGCAAGGTGTTCATCTAACCTCCTCCTAAAAACCCCCAGGGTAGGAGCCTGCACCACTTCTCTTGGTGCTCAAATTGAGCATCTGAATTAAGTAGTTTCCACAACATGAGACCTGAATGTCCTTACTTTATTTGTGCTATTGCCTGCAATAGAAAAGCTCTTCATGAGACATGGAGTGAACCAGCTAGTCATCAAGCATTCCAAGTACCTGGGCTGCTTCTTAGCTCTAGATTGCATATTTGTAGGAAATGTATCATCCAGAACATAGAGCACTTTCATTCAGTATTGTGCTAGCAGGGGCATGAACAACAGATATGCTGAAGCTATGCCTAAAAATACCCATGGGTATTTTCAGCTCAGTGTCCTCTATGAGAAAGATAGATGATTGTGTAGCTTATTGTCAGTACTAAGTATCAATAGAATATATATGACTTGCCGCTTCTTTTCTGAGCCAATACCATATGTAGCTCAATAAGCTATAGTACCTCTGAGTTAGTAAGATGGAAAGAAACTTCTTTGTGAGCAAGTTAAAAACAGGACCACACAGCCATCATTGTTGTTATATATAATGTGTACTGTAGTAGCATTTAGGAGTTGCACTTCAAGACCCCCTTATGTGAGACACTAATAACAAAGAACAACATTTCATTCCAGTTTAAAGGAGAAATTGATTTATGCAGCAAATTTTTAACAATTCTTGATAGAGAAAGCACCCCAGATCAGCTACATTTTGGATGAATAATATCTGCTGGCATTTTGGTTCAGATCTCTCTCTAGTTTATGGAGTATCACTGAATGATTTTTACCCCTGTTCTACAGAAAGATATTGTGAAACTTAAATTGCCTTTTCCAGCTCTGGTAAGTTCTTTCTTGAGGGTGATGCAAACACTGATAAAATAGCAGTAGAAATGGAATAGCATGATGCTTGATAGTGAAATGGTAGACAATACTATTGCAGTGTGACAAAGCAAAAGAGGAGGAAAATTCCTTTTTCTCTCTCTCTTTTCATAAATAATAACTATGCTGGAGTTAAGCAGCAGATATTCGTGAGAGACACATTTTCTGAAAAATCAGAGCCAAACATTTGGCTTAGCTGATTACACAGGGAAGTTTTACTGTCAGATAGAGTTGTGCCCTCAGGAACCCAGGTAACTCCTCAGATCATCATATGAAAACATTTGGAGTATGACCTTTAATTATTTGCCCCATTTGAGCTTTGTGCTTATAAAAGTAGAAGAAATTGCCATGAGAAATTCTGAGAGCTATTGGTTACTATGCCTAGCATAGTGCTCTGGAGAAGTTTCTGACGCATTAAGTGAAGCAGGCATGTGTCATCTTTATTCTAATCCCCTAAAAAGCAAAAAGAAATTCATAGTTGTACATACAGTAAGATCAAAGTTTGGAGGTTTTTATAAAGGATCTACTGTAGTTCAAATGGATTATTTCAATAAAGACCTACTAACTGGTTGCATCTACACGTACAGTTGTTACTGCTCAGTCATTTAATACTTGCTGCGCAGTCCCGATGCCCCACAGGTTTTCTCCCACGCTATTGCTCAGTAGCAGTGTCAGTGTCACAGATCATGCCTGCCGACACTACCTTGCTGTAGCAATGAGCTATGGTGACATAGTTCATCTCTATAGCAATATAGCATCTCGTGTAGACGCACCCACTGCGTTCTATGGGAAGATGGATTAGATGATGGTCACAATGGTTCCTTCCAGCCTTCTAATTTATGAATGCAGATTTTGCTTTCCAAGCCTTCACAAGATGCTCTGAAAAAAATCAAACCTTCTTCCCTCCCCACAAAAAAGGGAAAAGACAAATTTGTCTGCTTCTGTCACCTTGAACACATCCTATTAAATTACACCTGAGACAACCCTCATTTGATCCAAACCTGAAGTCCTTACTTAGGGGGGGCATTCCATGCTTTCCATGTCATGTAAGTGGCCATTTTTAGGTCATCCACGAGATATTTTTGCCATTTATGTACTCAGGAAAACTCATTTCCTATATACATAGCCAGACCCTGTGACTGCCAGACTTCACATGAGAAACAGAAAAGGTTTGTGTGTGTGTGTGTGAGGGAGGTCTTCCATAGCTTAGATCCTGACTTCTAGGCCCTATTTACCCACAGAATTGAACTGGGGCCTAGCTCACTACCCAGCCCCAAACTCTGACCACCATACCACAGATTAGTTGTTATCCATGCCCTTTTCTGGTCCACTTTTTGAAGCTGAGCCACTAACATGATCATTGGATTAAATGGATGGAGGGGAATACAGGAATGAAACTTTTGCCCCACTGGAGACAAGGACCCATACTTGAACCCAGGGACCTTTCTCTTCTAGGCCAGCAGCCACCTCATTGAGCTATGAACCTTTGACTTGCTCTCTTACTCCTGACCCATATATTTCCCACACATCTCCCTCTCATGCCTGCCCAAGAAAAAGCAAAATGGCTGACCTGCTGTGTGATGGTTAGCATGCTGTGCTAGAAAGTCCAAGATACCTAGGTTCAAACCCCATCTTGGTAAGAGGACAAGTCCACCCATCTCCCAGGTGAATTAGCTATCTATGTGTTTGAGGTAAATGCCCAAAGAAGTCTCTCTCTCTCTCTCTCTCTCTCTCTCTCTCTCTCTCTCTGGTGTCCATTTTGGCTGCATATGTAGTTGTTCACATGTGTAGGAATAGAATTTCTCTGTGTGCCTAAGTGCCAAAAATGTACAGTGGATGACCAGGAAAAAATAAAATGCAACAGATAGGCAACCAAATCTAGAGAGCTGGATGACCAGGAAGGGAATAAGATTGCTACCCTTAGTTTATACTTAGGTAAATTTGGTTCATGTAAAGGCAATGAACCAAATCAAGTTATTGGGAAATGCAACTGTCCAGTATTTCTCAGGTTTAGCCAACTGAGAATTCTGCTCAAATAAAAAGTGAATAAATCTAAATGAGGCCTTCAGAATTTGAACTCCTGACTGCACCCTGAATTGGTGGAAGAGGAATTGGCCCTTTTATGCAATGCAAAAACTTTCAAAAAGGTTTATGAAGTGTTTCAGTTACTAAAATATCATAAGGATCATGGATTTGAGGGGTTTTATGTTTTCAATATGTATCTGACAGCTTCTTTCTTTTGAAATTTCAGGTTGTAGGTCCGTGCAACAGATGCCAAATTATCTGCATAGATCAACAATCTGGAGAGCGAAACAAAGAATTCCTGCAGTCTCTGTCTAATGTCAGAGGTAGAAAGGTTAGTTTAACACTAAAATGCCAACTAAATGATAGAGTGTCTTGATGATATACATAATCCAAATTCAAGGGAATTCTCAAGAAACATGGAAATATTCCCTGGTGAATTAACTCACAAAAGTTGGAAAATGAAGCCATTCCTACTTGTTCCTCATCGTAGCGTTCAGCTTCTGTTTGCTTCAGTCAGAGTCAAAGAACCCCTTCATACAAGTCTACCTACAACCAAACAATTCAAACAAGGAGCTCCTGCCCTTTTAAAAAGATGAAGCAATCTCAGTTAGTAGGGCTATGCAAAGCTTCAGTCACCAGCTCAATTTAGAGGAGATTCAGCCCGATTCAGTGGCCAAATCTCCAAATCTGAATCAAATTGGGAGACCCGTTAAAAGGTTCGAATCGATTTGAAAGCCTTCGAATCAACTTGGAGTGACTCGGTGCCAATTCAAAAATTTGGCCGTAGACTAAACAGGCAGCAGTCCTCTGCCATGCTGTATACAGCTGCCTCCAGGTGGTAAGTCTGTTGTGGGAGGAAGCTGGAGGGAAGGGGCGTGGTGGGGAGCAGATCAACTCCCCCACAGTGAGGGAGGGATTGGGGCTGGGGCTGGAGCAAGCCACCCAGCTGGGGTGGTGGGGCACGGGACTCTGGAAGCGGGGTCCCACGGCTGCATGCCACCAGTCCGGGAGCTGCTCTTCTGGTGGCTCCTCCAGCAGCTCTCACTGCTGGTCTGGGAGGGCATGGGAGCGGGTGTGTGCCCATAGATCTGCGTGAGGTGAGCTGGGCCGGGCTGCACTCTGGGAGGCTAGGCCCAGCCACCCACTGTCAGGCTCCACCTGCCCCACGGAGCACAGTGGAGCGGGGAGTATGCAGGGGCTGCGGCCACCCAAAAAATCCCCCATAGCCCCTACTGCCGGCCCTGCTCCAATCAGGTGCACGCACCCGCCCCCATGCCCTGCCACTGCTCGCCCAGCCAGGGCAGGGCAGGGCGAAGCTGCAGTTTGTCCGGAAGGTGCAGGAAGGCTGAAGTGGCTTCCGCTGCTGCACACCACTTGTCCGAGGCAGTACAGCAGCACCATTCTGTACCTCCCAGCCCTGGCTGGGCAAGCAGCAGGAGGGCATAGCCCCTACTCCCAGCGCCTTCCACCACCCATGTGGAGCACAGCCCAGCCCAGCCCGCCCCTTGCAGATCCGGGAGCACTCACCTGCTCCCATGCACTCCCAGCCAGGCAGCGAAAGCCGCCGGAGGAACCATCAGAAGAGCAGCTCCCGAACCAGCAGTGCACATTGGCGGGAGATCCCCTCCCAAGTCCCGCTTCCCCTGCCCAGGCTGGGCAGCTTGTCCCAGCCCCAATCCCTTCTTTGTTGTGGGGGGCATTGATCTGACAACCCACACCCCTTCCCCCACCTACACCCATCGCAACAGACTTACCAGCTGGAGGCAGCTGTGTCCAGCATGGTCAAGGACTGCAGCCTGTTTACTCTATGGCCAAATCTCCTGGACTGGAGAGGCAAGCAGCCAGCTCGAGGTCAAGGACCAGAATGAGGACCCAGGGGCCCAGACGACAGTCAAGACTTAGCCCAAGAATCCACTGGGCCCATATCAGTGGGCCAGGGCTGCAGGCCTGCAGCTAGAGGAAAGGAAGGATGAAGCCAGGAGGCCTCTACGAGGGATGGAATGGTATACAGAGTAACATCTGCAAGACAGAGTAACGTCATCAAGTTTTACAACATGTGGCAGGTAAGGATCGAGAGTGGGCCCTGGGAAATGAAGGCAAGAGCCAGGCAGAGTTAAGGTGACCAGTTGGGGGTGTTATGGCAATCCCTGGTGCCTCACCTGTTACAAGGAGCAACCTGTGGAGATGAACAGAAAGAGCAGTAAAATGTGTCACTGATATTCAGAAAGGGGGAGAGTTATTTCCCCTACTACTTGGCCCCCCATGGCAACCCTACTGCTACCTGACCCTGCCACTTGCCCCTCCATGCCTTTGCCAGTCACCTGCTCCCTGCTTCCTAGTCTTTGACTGTTTCTGCCCCCACACTTCCTGCCTTCACCAGCCTTCCTCTCCCCTGCAACCTGTCCTTCCATCCCTTGCCTTTCCATACCTGTGCCTTCTCCCCTGCCTCCCCTAGTCCCTTACCCTCCAATGCCTCCTTGCCCCTGCATTCCTATACCATACTTCTGCCATCCCTGCCATGCCAGTGCCCCCAACTCCCTCCTTCCCCTCCCCACCACAGTTACCTTCTTCTGCAGCTCTGCTCTGGCCTCAGATCAGGCTGCAGCAGTGGTGGCCTCAGCACAGCCCCAGTCTAACCCAGCCTGGGAGGAATGGTAGCAGCTCCTGGGCAAGCCAGATCAGGGCTGGAGGGGGCACCTGGGGAGTGGGGGAGGCAGGCTGTACCTTTCCCCTGTGTTCCCCCATGCTGCATGCACAGGTCTCTCCCTTCCTCCACCTTCATCCTGTGGTCTTCCCCGTGCTCCCCTGGCTTTGAACCCCTTCCCCCACCAAATAAGCCATTGTGGCCCAGGGCAGGCGATAGCTCCAGGCTCAGCCTTGAGTCTGGGGCCAAAGCCAAAGTTCAGACACCACCAGCCCTGCACCAATACTTGAATTTAAGTCAAGGCTCCCCACCCCTTGCTGATTTTGGAAAAACATTCATCTTGGATTTGAGTAACTATGATAGCTAAGATATTAAAAGCATTGCCTAGACATGTTAGCTACTTGGACCTCAAATTCCATACACTTTTTTTTTAAGCGAAGGATTGTAATGTTTTGTCATTTTCTTCCATTTTTCATTTTTTTTCCAACAAAGATGTACCAAACTTTAGCAAATATAGTTTCCCTATGGTAGAGCCTTTCAGTGGACTCTAGCACTGAATCAATAGTTTGAGATGCAAGGAATCGTCAAATGTTTATTGTTTAAAATATTTTTAAGAGCTGGCCCTAGAGCTCCACTGGAAGACAGTGGGGTCTGCAAGTGTTTAATGCTGGTGAAAATCAGCTTCTTAATTTCAACTAGCATTACACCTGTTTTCTGATAGTTTACATTTTACATGCAATAGGGCCATACATCTTATCCAACTGCATTCCATTAAAATTTCTATTGTATTATTTTAAACAAAATGCAAATCCATCTCCAAAATAAACTTGATCTCTGCTGTCATCACTTCTGAGGCAACTTTTGTTAAAAAATGACTTTAAAGCAAAAATCTTTCCTTGTCTGACAGAACACTCCACTCTTATAGGTTTTTAGATGTAGGTGCTATAGGAGACCGGAAAAGAATATACCGGACTAGAACCTATTTTTTCAAGATTCTTTCCAGTTTACATTGCAACCAGATGTTGGGAGGTATGGTTGGGATTGATGGGGAGGGTTGGTTTTTTTGGGGAGTTTGGCAAGGCAGGTGTGATTGAAGAGAGGAGGGCTGAAATTCTCAGGTTTTGGGATGTTGTTTGGAGAATCTTGTCTATAAGTTGCTCTGACCTTCTAAATAGGGCCAGATATAAATATAAATAAATAAATACACCAAAGCAAATGTTCTTAGTCTGTGTGTGCCCTTATGTGCTAAGACCCTGGTACTGTGAGGGTCTTCCTGCAGTTTCTGACCCATGGTCAGAACTGCCATGGTTCTTCAAGGGAAAAACTCCTCACAGAATTAGGCTCCAGACTATTGGACCATGCACACCATCTTTGCTAAGATTATCAAATTATTTCTTTTATCTGATGTAGCAGTACTACTGCCATCATCATAGTATAGAGTATAGTCCTTTATATTATGCCTAGTGCCTTTCATTCATGCATCTGGAACACTTTTACAAGCCCTATTTCAAGTACTTGAGAGCTGTGTAAGTATTTGATTTCTGTTTGATGGCAGGAACCAAAATAAAAACTAAGTGATGGATGCAAAACAAAATTCCATTTTTCACTAAAAATAAAGCCTGAAAAGATAGATGCCAGTCAAATGAAATGTTCTGTTTGTCCAGCAATTTTCTGTTCTTTTTTGGGTGTTTTTTTATTTGAATGTAGATTATTTCTTGTCTCAACCTGTTCCTTTCAAAATGAAATATGAGAATAGTTTGTTAAGAAAATGTTACAATGTAATGCTTTGAATCTATTTTTTTCTTCTTCATTGACTTCAAGTATGGCAAATACTTTTTGTCCAACAGATAACCCGCTTGAAAAATTTTGACCAACAGTTGTAATTAACCTTACAATGCCTTTCTGTAGGAAGGAAGATTACATTATATTCTTTTGTTACCTATGACAAAAATAAGCCACAGGGGAACTCAAATGCACTGAGTAAAAGCAATTTTGTGACCAATACAGGAGTGAAATCCTACAGTTATAATCTCTGAACTAAGTTCTAGTCTTTGGTCCTATTTTATGTGATCTTTAAACCAAACAAGAACACTTACCAAGTCCTGTTTTGAACTAAGTGTATTTATGTATTTAGTGTTTTGAACTAAGTGGATCTTGTGGCCTGTTATAAACTGGTTAGGGGGGATCAGCAGGTGCTGGGGGAGTCCCTGTTCCCCCGAGCACCGCAAGGAGTGACCAGGAACAATGGTCACAAGCTGGCAGAGGGAAGGTTTAAGTTGGACATCAGGAGGCGCTACTTCACGGTCAGGGCGGCTAGGGTCTGGAACCAGCTTCCAAGTGAGGTGGTGCAGGCTCCCACCCTGGGGGTTTTTAAGAGGAGGTTGGATGACCACCTTACTGGGGTCATTTGACCCCAGTGCTCTTCCTGCCATGGCAGGGGGTCGGACTAGATGATCTGCTCAGGTCCCTTCCGACCCTAGAAACTATGAAACTATGAAACTATATGTGAATAGATGTCTAAGTGTTGCATATATCCATTTATGTGGCACAAGTACTTGAAACAACACACAAAAATGATGGGCTATTATTACTTTGCTATCACTGTAAGCAAGGACAATGACTTTCTCAACATACACTCTTCTGTAAGGGTAAGTGTATGGTATTTACACCCCTGCTTGTTGGACTGTGCTTTTACCACACAAGTAGTTTCACATTTTCCCGCTGTAGTGAGTAATGGGAAGCTAACGTTACATCCCCCTACTGCCATCAGAAGATAGACTGTATAGAACAAAAGACCTCACAGCTCGGCAGTACTTACTGAGTTCCTAGATTGTAAAATGGAAGTTGTATGCAGAATAAAATGCCCTTCAAGTGAGAAAAGAGTAGCTAGCAACAGAGAGAGATTAAATGGTCCATTGTAAAAATTCTGCAAGCTATAATCTCAAGGGCTGAAAGCCTCTTTTTCTTCAAAGTAAAGATGGTGTGGCATAGGAGTCTTTTTAGGAAGGTTTCTTTTGGTAAGTGTAGTCAGAAATATAGCTAAACAAATATTCCCAGAGTATTTTTATTGAATAGAATAAGGAAAATTACTACAGGAGTATCGCATTTTTAGTTCACTCTAAGTGCTAACTAGCAAATATTGGTCCCAAGAATTTTCATGAAAAGAAAAAAGTTAGCAATATCTTCATGAAAATGTGTTTTTATGCAAACACTTTTCCAAGTAAACACACACATTTCTGCATAAAACTCCACAGGAGTCAATCAATCAGGTGACAGAAAACTATGTTTTGTGACTTAGCCAATTAGAATAACAAAATACTAACGTCAAATATTTGAAATAATGTTTGAGGAATGCAAATAATAAAATGTTGTCTCCAGGTACAATGCTGCTCCAGTGAAGAAAACAGCTTTCCCTCTTAAAAGAGACACCTTAATTTTAGGGGGCCAATTTTGGAGGAATGGGTACATTGTAGGTGAGAAAACACAGTATAAGTGCCTTTTGCCAAATAACTTCAAAATATTAACAAATTTGGTAATTTAAAAAAAATGTTAAAATCTAAATCTGATCTCAATTCACAAAATAAAATAAAAACTAAAATATTGTTTTATGTGCCTATTTGTTGCTCTGGAAGTAAACCAAGACGATTGTACGTCAAGATCTGTATAGAAAAAGCTGTTAACTTTAAAGTAAGCTTATTTATAGTGATGTTGTTCTTTCATATATGAAATATGTTACATTGTAGCCTAATTTTTTAATTCATTATTCAATATAGACATATGCCTATCTGGGTTTTTTTTCCTAGTATAATTAAAGGTAGAACGTTAGATTTCATTATTTAATAGAAAACTGACCCAGTTGCCACTAGATTAATTATAATTCTGGAGAATATCATTTATTCAAACAACAGATTATTGCCCAGTAAAACAATAAGAGGTTGCGTACACATTCAGATAATCTGGGAAAATTCTCCTAGGTTTGTCCTCCTGGTAGAGAAACTTACCCGGAGTCACATGTACAGACATTCTAATGCTGAAGCTCTGAAGAGTGACGAGCTTGCAGTGCTGACATTGTGCAGCCAGAGGAGGCATCTCAATATGCTTTCCTTAGTCTGTCTGGCAACAGATGGCAGCAATGCATAGGGTAGCTCTGATTGTCCAACCCAGACTGCCCTTGTTCAGCTTGTGTTTTCCTGCAGCACAATGTGGGGATTGTGCAGGGGACATATTCTACTGTCTGCTAGAGCTGCAGAATCAAGTGAGGGACACACTATCTGTCTTGAAGTGGTGTGTGGGGGGGGGGGTGATGCTGGAGAATTATGTTCTCTTCATTCATTCTCCCAGGAGAAACTCTCCTGGGGGTGATTTAACCCTGATTGTTCCCCAGTTATTTTTCTCCTGAAGCAGCCAGTTTTGCCATGGGAGAAAAAGCCTGACTATCTTTATGCTCATGGCTTCTGGGAGAGAAGTGACTCTCCCAGGAGAAACTGAATGTGTATATGAGGCCAGAGAAGGGTAATCATTTAAATGAAATCAGTATTTCAAATAAAATCTGCATTGACTTCTTAATTTTAATTTCTTGGTTGATCTGGATTCTAGCAGGTCTATGGGAATGTATATAGTAATAGAAAAGAAAATCCTATGTGAAGTACCCTTTTTCTTATTTTCAAGATCATAAATTTAAAAATAAGGTAAGAGTTCCAAGTCAAACTGATATACTTTCCAAGCTCCTGTTGTACCTCATCCATCCCATTTCACAGGAGACAATTTCTGCATTGAACCATGTTGTTTAGTGCTGTAGAAGGACTTGTACCTGTTGAATTTTCCATCATATTGTTGTTTCTTCATTGCCTGAATAGGAAAGGAATCGAAGATATTGCCCTAAGATTTAAATAATTAAAATGCATTGATTTTAATTTAGGTAGCAGATGGATTTTATTTATTAAAGATCCCATTAGTTGGGATATTTCTATCTAATCTAACTACTTTTATTCTCATTATTAATCCCATACCTCTTAATTGAACATTGGACAATGGGGAAAATAAAGAAGAGGGAAGAGATCTATGGAAAAATATGACTTTCATTGAAAAGCCCAAAATTGGATAATTTACAGTTTGTAGAGGCTAAAACCAAAACTCTTGCACATGGACTGTCAGAAAAAATAATGTTTCATTAAAACATACCAAAAAATGTTTTTAAATTAGATTCCATTTTTGTTTTTCTGAGAAAAATAAAAAGTTATGAGAACAGCATACACTTTCTGGAATAATTTAAGTTTATTCTAAAACCCAAGTTTGATGAAAAACTTTTCAAGGCAGATTTCATGTGGCTACGTCTACACGTGCACTTTAATGCACAGTAGACTTTTTTACTGTGCATTAAAGCATCACATAAAAACTGTGCAATTACACTAATGAGCAGTAAAATAGGCTATTGTGCATTAAGCATTACTTAAAAACTGTGCTTATTCATTACTGCACATTAAAACAGCCTAATGTACATTTCTTTAGTACCTCATATTGGAGGTACTAAATTTAATGTGCATTAGAAAAAGCACCTTAGTGCATGTGTAGATGCTCCCACTGATAACTTTCTTCATCTAAAATTATTCTAAGACTCAAGGGGCGTAGCTACATGAGATGCTACAATCACCATAGCAAAAAGCTACAGCCACATAGCTTGTTGCTAGGGCAATGTAGCATCGGCGGGCAGGAACCATGAGGCTGACACTACTGCTTAGTAGCAGCGAGCTACTGCTCAGTAGCCTGTTGCTGTTGCGCAGTAGGGTTGGAAATGATCCATGGACCCCTAGGACTGTGCAGTAACGGGAGTTGCTGCGCAATCAGGTGCGCATGTAGATGCATCAAAGGAATATTTTTTTGAGATAGCAAGGTGGTTCTACCTCCATTCTGAAGTATTTCTAAAATAAGCACTGTTAGAAAAAAATGCACTGGTGAAAATCGATCCCAAATCCCCTCAGGAATTTATTTCAACAGAACTTTTGCCAGACTAACAGATAGGCATAGTAGGCACATGCCTGGGCCCCTTCTTCACTTAGGGCCCTAGTTGTGCTTATTTTACATATTATAATTATTGGGTGAAAAAAAGTAGGGGCCCACCAATTTGTTTGCCTAGGGCCCACTAAAGGGTTAATCCAGCCCTGATTACAACCTACTATCCACTGCAGTGAGCAGGACTATGCATGTACTAAAATTAAGCACTTGCTTTTAAGTGCACTAGAAAAAAAAACTGCTAGACACCCTGCAGAATTAAACCTGCAGTGTGAAACATGGATGGTGAGTGAGTAAAACAACTGTTTGATGTTTGTCTCCACTGTGTGGTGATCACAAGTATCACAGAACTATGTTTATAAATGTTTCTGATTTGTATTTGTTGGATGGCTTCACATCTGGCAAAAGAAAATGAACGATGGATTCACCAAGTAGAACAAACTTTCAGAATACTTTCAGTAAAATATACTAAAATATTCATAAAAACAAATGAAGGAAACATTCACAAAGCTCGAGACATAAACAAGTTCTAATAGCAAAGCGAATAATTCATGGTATGAAGCGCAAAGGTTTGCTTCACTGTTTGAACATGTGTGCATCCCTACTCTGTCTACCCTGTGAACATTTTCTGAAAAATGTATTAACCAGGTTTGTCAGAAAGCCAGAGTGCTCATTAAATTACCAGGTTGTGAAGGAGTGTAAATGATATATATATATCTATACCTATGGGACTGAGGGGAGAAATATCCTTGTATGTATATGGTTGCTGCAAGTTTTCATGTTGAATAAACTGAAACTGGCTCTTACCTGTCTATTATGCTTATAATTAATGAAAACTCTTTTTAATTTTAGGAAAATAATGGTTGTGTCTTTTGTTTTTACAGTCTCTTATTTGTTGTGAGATCCACCTTATTCACAGATTGCTGTGAATTTCCTAGCTTGCTAATTAATTGGGGGGTTTTTTGTTTTGTTTTTTTCCAGACACACTTTGGCATATACCTGATGAACCAGTCATCATGCTCATCCTCTTCAAATTTATTGTCAGTGGGATCTCCAGTATTTCCTATATTGAAGGAGAGTACAAAAATACAGTGCCCACCATCCAATGAAGAAAAAGCTTCTGGATAACTTTCTTCAGCTGGACAAGTTTGACATGGATAATTGAGAAAAATCTGGTTGTCAGTTATTAAAAAAAATTTCTACTGGTTTACTTCTGGTTTTATTTCTAGTGTCATTATTTGCTCTAAAGGTTCTTGTTGCAGAGGATCCCTACACCTGCTACTGGAAGAAACTAAAAGCAGTGTCAGGAGGCTGTCTGGGGCAGTGCAGCTTACAGAGGAGTAAGCTGCAAGGTGCAGGCTCCTCATAATTAGGCAAATGAGCAACCCCAATACGACAAGAGAGAGCTTATAGGGTTCAGCCTGCAGGCAGGGAAATGTGAGGCTTCTGATGAGATAAGTAGCAACCCCCAGACCCTGTTGCCACAGGGCCAGAACAAGTGACTAGAAGATGGAGGAGAAAGCACCATATAATCCTGAGCCTGGAGCTAGAGATTCAGATTGGCCCTGATCCTGCTAGAGAGAGAAACTCTGGTGAATATCTCTGAAAGTTAAATGATTTGTATTATAGTTCTTTACCTTTGGCATTTATGTTCTGGTGGGGTGCCTGGAAAGCACTCTATGCCTGAGAGTTGCTGAAGCCCAGATAGAGCCCTACAGGATTTGGAATCTGGTGGGCTCTGTGGGCCAAAGCCAAGGCAGGATCAGGGGCCCAGTAAATACATATAGACCTGCTAGGACCAGGGGTCCAGTGGGTTGAGTCAGCTAAAGCCAAGAGAGTAAACCCGTGCCTGGCAGGCTGATGCTCAGACAGGACTAGGAGCCTAGGGGAAGTGTGCAGTTAGCCCAGGTAGGGTGAGAGAACCTGGTAGAAGAAGACCAATGAGGCATAAGCATGGCGACCGGTAAGGGTGGAGTCCCCAATTAAGACAAATAGGGTGACAGTTAGAGTCAAGAGGGCACAATTAGTGCCAACAAGCCAGACAGTTTAGATATAAGACCAGAGCAGGGAGGCAGGGCCAGTGAGCCTGGAGCAACAAGGCAGGAAAGAAGAGTAATGCCTTGCTCAGGCAGTGATTGGGTCAGAAAATAGCCACCCTGGGATAAGCAGGGTGGAATAAAATACCCAACCTTACTCCGGTTTTTGAGGGCAGCCTCCCATATTTATTAACTGAATATCAAGAAGTGGCAGGCAAGCATAAGGCAGTGGTCCAAGAGACCAGTAGGACAGGATAGAGTTGAAGTGCCTGCTAGACTATGCCACCTCCATCCTCAGGAGGCATATCCTGTGACACTTACCAGATGTTAGCCACCTCAGTGATTACATACCACTTCCATTTTTCCCCTTGTGACTTAAGATACACAAGCCTTAACTTTCTAATTTATTCAATTGCTTCAGGCCCTAACAGGTTTGAGCAAATTTTATTACCGGGTGGATAACTCCAGCCCTAACCCAAATATTATTGTCACAAAATCCACATCTTATGATGGGCAGCAATTGTGATAATATATTATTCTTGATGTATCTAGGACCATTTCTAGAAATTGGTATGGGTGGGAAAGGAGGAAAGAATGGAAGAAAATGCCATATCTCATGATAAAAACATACCTCTTGGCTTTTTCAAAGTGATATACAGACCATCCAGAAGGTTGGTGAAAGAAAAGAAAGGAAATATTAAGATTTTGGGTGTAGGTATGGAATATTTCCACATCCTTCTTTAGGAGGAGACATTGCTAAAAGCATTGAAAAGCAAAGATTCAAAATACAGCGTATAAAAGATTATCTTCGTAAAAAGCTTTACCAGATTTCTTTCCAGGTTTTTCTTTTCTTTCCTGTATGCCACTTTTCCATCTGTTTTTGTTTTGGGGGTGGGGGTTTAAATGTTTTTCCACAGACTGATTTATTTTATGAATTTATATGGGATATTTTTCAAATGTCTTCAAATATAAGATTTCACAAACAGAGCTACTGTAACTTTATAAACAAATTTTCAATATTGTGTGTGTTCCCTGGCAAAGCATGAAATTTTCAGAGACTTGTTTCAAAGAAACCCTTGAAATGTGAGTATTCATCCACTCTAAAACCTATTAAAGACCTCACCTTTCTTACTCTTCATGCCCTTCCATGTACTCTATGTATCTGATTCCCCAGAGTTCAAATTTTTCTCTTCCTCCTGCAGAAATCTTGATCCTTAACTTTTGATATTTGGAAACAAGGAGCTGAGGACAGAAGGAAGGGGAAATCATCCTTGACACAAATATCCTAAAAGTTTGGACTCATTGACTGTATCCAGATGAGCGGGGACACGTAGTATGTGGCACCACAGACCCATATGTAATGCCACCCACTATACATGCAGGCATTCCCTGCACTGCTACCTTGCAGTCAGAGTGGGGAGGAGGGGGGCAGTTGACCCAAGGAGATCCCAGGGTCAAAAAAATCCACACCGAAAAAAAGCCAGTGGTGCACACTTCAGCTGCCGCCCAGGCTTCCTGGTGTAGCTGCAGCCCCGGGAGGTCCCCCCAGGACCCCAGGTTAGGGCTTCAGGGGCTAGAGCATGCATGAGCGTGCACAAATTGTGTCTCTGCTGGTTGTACGGAGGGAAAAAAAATTCTGTGCTTGTCTGGATACGCCCATTGAGAGCTATTCTTCCCTGACCTGTAAACAAAGCCAACCATTTGTGATATTCCCATCGGCTTTTAATGGGTCTACAGTTGGTCACAGGTTGGAGGTTTTGTTGCAGTATGATACATGAATTTCTGGCCCTAATGAAATCCCTGTCAGGACTCTTGCCTTGTGTGATTCAGCATTTCCTTAGGTTGAGGCTAGAGGGTTTCTGACTTGCGGAATCCAAAAGCTACTGTAGAACTCTGAACATTCACAATTTGATCAACTGTGAGCCTGGTCAAAGACATATTACTGGAACTTATTATGTGACACAGGGTTAAGGCATTTCTATAAATAAGAAATATATATATATACAGAACGTTATGCATTGGTCACTGCTTGCTTATAATTTTTTTTTATTTAATCTTGATTACAATATACCAGTACTGGGCTGCATTTTATTTCAGGTTTATATATACTATCAGTAAACAGGCCCTTTTGGGGGAGATTATGAATCGAGGATAAATTTGTACTTGCATAGTGGTCAATAACAATTCATGTGATAACTGAAGGTTCCGTTTAAGATTTGTGTTTGGCCCAGGGGACTCGCTGCAGACCTGGTGAAAGCTGAAGCCAAATAGTCACTCTAAGTAGAATTGTTAACAGAGTAAAAATATGTGGGAGTGTAACAAGTTGCCCTCCCCAGGGCCATCTTCTTGGTCATCTGCACCTTACGTGGGGCACCCTTGGAGCCCTCCTTGGATTTTTTCCTGTCCCGCCCTAATCTTGTCTGCCACGTCTTGATGGAAATTATGTGAGCAGGAGACTACCTAGTATGTTGGGGTCTCTCCTAGGAGGGCCAGACCCCTTTTTCCTCTAGCTAGCCCTCCTTGTCCAAACCCACCAAACAGGGTTTGACTCTGAGGCGCTAGCTTTTCCTTCCAGTGTCTGGAGGCTTGTGGCCCTCTTTTCTGCTCCCTTCTGGAGCACAGTTCTCCCTGGCCCAGAGGCACAGGAGCCAGACCCACAACCAGAGGGTCATGGGTTCCAAACCAGAGTGCAACCCTGAACTGCCCCTGTCAGTCCAATCAAGAAAAAAAAAAAAATACAACTGATCAGGGTTTGTATCCCCTGAAAGCTGCACCCTCACTGGCACCAGGGACTATGCCCCCAAATGCTGCACCCTCACTGGCTTGGGCTCTCTGCAGCCCCATCTGACTCCCCCTCTCTGGGGCCAGGGTCCCCATGCTACCATGAGGCCTCCTCCATCCCCTTATAGCCTCACCCAAGCCACCAGTAAAACAGTAACCAAAACACAAGCCCCTGGGCTATAACATAAATTCATGCCACTCAGCTAAAATGTCATTCAGGCCACCCCAAAGGTGCTCCATGTCTCAGCCGTATCAAGCTGCCCATACATTCAGGCCTCTTCCCTTTACTCACACAGGCTGAGCCCCTTCCCCCTTAACTGCCAGCAGGGAACTGCCCACCTGGCCTCAGCCCTGGGGTTTAAATGGGAGCCAGGCCCTGCCCTTTCCTGTCAGCTGACCACTGGCAGGTGTGGGTCACTAGTTCCCTCTGGTTGCCCTAACAACCGGCACCTGGGTAGTTATCCCGGCTCTACAAGTAGCAGGCACCTTAGTGTCCTGCTACAGGGAGAGAAGGAATGTAACAATTCAATGTATACATTGGAAGTTCAGGACTGTTTTCATCATGTCTGGGACCACCATCTGTGTTGGTTTTCAGTCTGAAATGGCTGTTATAAATCTCTAAACAATGAACTTTTTTATGGAAAACACGAAAGAAGATATCTATTTCTTACAAGCAGAAATTTCCATAAAAATACTGAACATGAGAGATGTCTCATGTTTATGTAAACAAGATATCAGCTTTGACAGAAATGCATAACATTTAATTATATGCATAACAATTGTCTATCTGAATACTTACCTTGAAAACCAAAGCATTTATCATTCTAAAAGCCACTTAGATGATTCTCAAAACAAGCTGGAGTTTTGAATTTTAAAATGCAGTTTCATGATATCTAAATTTGTAAATGTTTCATTCCTCAACTATGCGTCATACAAAATATGGTTTTGTTGGATAGAAGGTCAATGCATTTTGACAAATTCAATGTGAAGGGACTTGCTGCATGCTGACCTTCAGATGATCTTTGGTGCTTTTCTCTGAGTGGTCTCACCTTTCCAGTTTGTCAGTTGTTTAAAATGGCACAGGAAGTAGAAAAGGAAATGAAAAGCAAACCTTAGCAAGCTGTATTGGACATTACTGGATTTATTATAGAATAAGTTGCTTAAGCACATAACGTGACAAGTAGCATGAATAGTCTTAATCCAATGTAGGATAATTAAGGATGAAAGAATTTGAACTTCCTAGGTTTGGTCGTCCTGACCTATTACTTAAAGATCACTTATGCATCATTAGGCCTGTTCTATAATATCAGAACACAAATAATTTTGTAATTTAACAGGAATACATGTTCTCTGATCTGTGAATAGATTAAACAATATAACAGTGCATGGTCCA